CGTTAGCTTCCGCTGCTGTTCTGTGTGTCGCGCGCCCCGTGGCGCGCGACGGATTTTTCTTCCCGCCACGCGCTCGGGGCGCGTGGCGGTTTTCTGCTCGCCGCGCGCCCCGAACGCGCGGCGGTTTTCTACCCGCCGTGCGCCCCAAGGCGCGCGGCGGTTTTCTGCCCCGTCGACCGTGGCTTCGCCCCCTGGAGCCCGTCGCGTCGCCCCGCAAGCCCGCCGCGTCGCCCCCAGGAGCCCGTCGCGTCGCCCCGCAGGCCCGTCACGTCGCCTCCCCTTCCCGTCGCCCATCGCGGCGCCCTGGGGGCCCGCGGGCCGCCCTATCCCGTCGCCTCGTCGCGGCGCCCTGGGGGCCCGCGCGTCGCCCCCTCCCGTCGCCCATCGCGGCGCCCTGGGGGCCCGCACGTCGTGCCCCCTCCCGTCACCCGTCGAGGCGCCCTGGGGGCCCGCGAGCCGCCCTACCCGGCGCCCGTAGCAGCTCCCCAGGGACCCGCGCCCCGCCCCCCTTCCGCTCGCACGCCGCCCCTACGCGCCGCCTGCGTTTAGGGTTTGGGGGTGGCGGGTATGGGGGTGCCGGGTGTGTGCGCCGTCCCCTCCTCCTCCTCCTTCTCCGTCTCCCACTGCTGCAGCTGCCGCTGAGGGGGGTGGGTGTGTGGGAGCCGAGGGAGTGGCGCTAGGGGGTGTAGTGCGAGCGCTGCTAGGGGTACAGCAGGGGGTGTGTGAAAAGGGGGTGGGACAGCTTGGGGAATTTGAGAGGAGGCCGTCGACTTGTCGTCCGCAGCGCCTGAAGTCCAGGGAGCCACGACCCCCTGTGGCCTGAGTAGTCCGGGGCTCTGCGCCCGGTAGCTACAGTGTGTGCACTCCTGGGAGCACAGCGAGCCAGCTGCGACCCCCTGTCGCCGTGTAGTCCGGGTTTAGCCTGGTAGCGACAGTGCGGCACACTCCTGCTGCCCGTGTGTCTGCAGCTTCAGCCGTCGCCTCTCATCTTCTTGCTCCCACAGTTTCTCCTCCTCCTCACTTGCCCTCTGTGATAGCCTCTAGCTTTGCTTATATTTGTGAACTTACTGCTCTGCCTGCTTGTTGTGTTGATTGTACCCCACTTTGACTATGGGGGTGTGTCAGAATGTAATGGTTGTCTAGCCTGCAGTGGGGTACTCTATAGCGAGTACAGCCCTTCTAGGGTTTGCTATATGTATCCCTATGCTTGTTAGTCAAAATCCTCTTTGCCTATTTCTCGTTTTCGCCTAGCCTGTTTAACATCAGGCTGCTACTGAACCACACTTGAGTTCATCCCTGCCTGACCATCCTACAGTTCTGATAATCAAGGCCTCAGATTCACTTTTAGGGACGTTGATGCATCAGGGTCCCTATGTTAAAAAGGCTGAAAATCAGTATCCTAAAAAAAAAAAAGTCCGAATTTTCAGGGTTTCCGAAAAAAGAAGCCTAATTTTCATTCACATGTTATTTTGGTTATGAATGCTGACCTTACGAATCATCATGGCAGCTGCGAGACACGAACAACCGGGTACCTTTCCCTTTGATGGCGAATTCACCAACAACTGAGACAGTTCAGGCTATTCGAACCCAGAAAAATGAAGATATGGTTCTTACCTGGCATTCTCGGGTGTCTTACAGCAGGGATTGAGAATGTGTATTTAGTGTAAACTTCGATACAAGGCTGAAGAATCAGTCCTCTTAGAGAAAAAAAGCTGAAAAATCAGTCTCTCTGAAATTTGAACACTGAAAAATCAGTGTAGGTACAAAAAAATACCTTGAAAGAATTTCAGGGTTTTTTCCCTGATATCTGAGGGCCTGTTCTGATTGTACCAGATTTAACATGCTAGCGGGTCAACCGTCAAGGTACTTAGTACGGTAGCGTAGTAACCAATTGTCAGTGTGTGCAATCTTGTAAAACATCTGCCCTGGGCATCACACCAATGATAGCTGTTTACAGGGATAACACTGTACTGTACCATCGATTACTGTCAGCCCCCGGATAGAAGCGCCCCTGGGGTTGTAATAAAACACTGTTTTTTAGGGGGTGCGCTTATAATTGAGGATTTTTATAAGCGCCGGCGCCTATAAAATGGCAAATGTGAAATATGTTTTTTTTACATCTAACTGAAGTTGTTTCAAAAGGGGATTCTATCCACATCCAGAATGTTCGTACACGTGCATGAAAAACGCGTCAAATGGCCAACAAGGCGTGGCATCACTGCCGCCACGCCTTGTTGGCCTGGCCAGATTCATCGTACCGTACATGAATCTCGCGCATGCCAGCGCACACGCTGTGTAGTGTAGGACTGCCCAATCAGGGTCGATGGCCGTGCCAACCACGACGCAGAACAACCACGAACCAGGCTTATGCGGCAAGATTCCTTTCCAACAACGCCCACACCTCACCATATCAGCTCCTCTGCGGGGGGATCTCGGGCCGCGAAGTTGGAGGGGTCTCGGGCGAGGGCTTGAAACAGGCTTCATTCTCACCGTTTTTTCCAGGTTTCTTGTTTCTCTCGGCCAGCCACTGCCATGGCGGGCCTTCCAGGCACCCATTTTCTCTTTAACCGCCAAGGTCATGCTGCCAAGACTCCCGATTACACTCAATGGCAGAGTCGCCCAGCTCCCATACCTCCTGCTCCTCCTGCGCCTCCTGCTCCTCCTGCGCCTCCTGCTCCTCCTGCGCCTCCTGCTCCTCCCGCTCCTCCTAACGTCGTCATCAACGGTGTGCCCGTTCTGCAGCTTCTCCCTCGCGGCTACTCTGCCTTCGACGCGTACATCTCCGAGCCCGACCCCGAGCCCGAGCCCGAGCGCAGCGACGAAGATGAAACCGGTCCCGGTCTTTCGCCACGCTGGGGAGACCCGGAAGACTGCCCGCACGACGAATCTGCCACCGATGCCGAAGATGACGTTGAGTGGTGGGCGGCAGACGGTCTTCCCGAGGACTTGCCTGTCCCAAGTTTTCCCCCGCCCGATAAAAAAAGGCCCCACCCCTCCACCCAGAATCGTGATGCCCGCCCCCCGTCTCCCAGGAGCAGGCGCTCAAGGCACAAGCGCCACTCCTATACTTCTCAGGAGAAGCTGCACTGGATTTCACAGCTGGAGTCCGGTGCTGTGAGTGTGCGGAAGATGGCGCGCGACACTGGTATCTCTCGAAAGTCCCTGGCAGAGTGGAAATCGCGGAAGGATGAGCTGGAGGGCGCGCATGGGGCTCGCAAGCGTCTTCACGGGCGTGGTCGGTCGTCGTGGTACCGCGACATGGAGATCCAGGTGTACTCACGAGTACTTGCCGCCCGAAAAAAGTGCCTCGCAGTGTCGGTCGGCCGCCTGCAGCAGTGGTCGCGAGAGGTGATGAAGAGCCTGAATCCTGAGGTAAAGTGGGCGGGATCTCAGAGGTGGACCGAGCGTTTTCGGCGCCGCTGGAATCTCACTACCCGATCGAAGACCCGTGTCGGCCAGAAACTTTCCTCCGGTGAGTCTGTTGTTGACGTCGCTCTTGTTTATCCCTGTTGCTCTTCCCGTTCGATGTGCTAATGTTTTTTTATCGTTTCTGCCTCCCCGTTCCTTCCAGGGTGCGAGACGCAGGTGCGGAACTTCTGGAAGTTCGTGCGACACACCCGCCGACAGTACGACATCGACAACCGCTGGATCATTAATGCGGATCAGACCCCGCTCTGGCTCGAAATGCCAGCTGAACGCACGGTCGAGGAGGTGGGGGTCCGCTCCGTGCCCATCCGCAGCGGCGGCTATCAAAAGGAGTGCATGACGGTGATGCTCGCCTGCACCGCCAGCGGCGAGAAGCTCAAGCCTTGGTTGTTTTTTAAGCGCAAGACAGTTCCAAAGGGGAATTTCCCCTCCGGTAAGCCGAGCAGCTTCAGTCCCGGTAGGATTTGCAAGTGTTGTTTTTTTTTTGCAACTGACGCAATTCTCAATGTTGTGCGGATGTGCAGATGTCGTGGTCGCCGCACATCCCAACGGGTGGATGGACGCGGACGGCGTCCTCGCGTGGCTCGACGGTACGGTGGGCCTGTACGTCAACCTGAGGTTCGGAGTGCGCAGCAGGAGGGCGATGCTGGTGCTTGACTCCTACCGCGGGCACCTGACTGATCAAGTGAGGGCGAAATTCGGCGAGCTGCGTATCGTGCCGGCCATCATACCAGCTGGCTGCACATCGGAGGTGCAGCCCCTAGACGTCGCGGTGAACCGCTCCTTCAAAGCAGCTGTGCGACAGCAGTACCAGGCATGGTTCGAGAGCGAGGGTGTTGACTGTCAAACATTGTACTTATGTTATTGTTGTGTAGGCAGTGGGTTAGCCTGTAGGGGGTACACAATTCTAGGGTTTTGATACTTGTACTCCAACTTTCTCTTAGTCAAACAACTTCGTGTTTCTGACATGGTATTAAGAGCTTAGGTCCTAGTCCTAGGACCGATTACCTAAGGGCCCACCGCCATAAGCGCCCTCGAGCGCCTTGCTTAGTGCGCCCTCGTGCGCCTCGCTTCCTCCTCGTGCACGCGCGCAGCTCGCTAGTGCCGCGCGCGACCTTTTTTTTTTTCGCGCGCGTCACCCACTAGCGGCCCGCGCGCGGCCTTTTTTCTAGAGCGCGACGGCCCCTAACCGCCCACGCGCCCGGCGCCGCCCGCGAGCAGCCCCTAGCCGCCCGTCGACAGCCCCCTCAGAGGGTCGCAGCCCCGCCCCTAGGCCGCCGCGACTCCCCACTAGGCTGCCGCCCGCGCGCTAGTCCGGCCCGCACACAGCCACGGCCCGCCAGCTACAGCCGCTCGCACGCACGACCCCCCCCCCCCGTCGTGCACCGCCGCGTAGCCCAGCCGAGCCGCGCCGCCCGAACCGAACCGCGCCGCCCGAACCGAGCCGCGCCGCCCTAGCCGAGCCGCGCCGCCCTAGCCGAGCCGCGCCGCCCTACTGTGCCCCACCTGCAGCAACTGCAACTATTACTACTACTGTTCCTACTGCTCTTGTTCCTCCTACTGCTCTCGCCACTATGGCCAGTCCTACTGTACTTACCTTTGACGCTGAGGGCCGCCCGATTAAGTTCGATGTTTGGCTCGATGACCTTCACCTCTACCTTCAGATCACCGCCAAGGACGATATTTCTCTTTATGACCACACGTCCGGCGCCGCTCCCGCACCTGCTGCTGATGCTGATAGCACCTTGCGCTCGCAGTGGCAGACCCGTGACGCTCACGCTCGCCTAGCCGTTCGCAGCCACCTGCCGTTAGATGAGCGCGAGCATTTTGGCCAGCATAAGACCGCCAAGGAACTGTACGACGCCGTAGTCGCGCGCTACTCCTCCCCTGCCACTGCTACTATAGGCCGTCTCTCACTGCCCTACCTCTTTCCCGACCTGTCCGCCTTTGCCACTGTCGCTGACCTCATCACCCACCTCCGTACCAGTGACCTCCGCTACCGTGCCGCGCTCCCCCCCGATTTCCTCGCCAAGAACCCCCCCCCGATGTACCTCACACTGTACCACCTTGTCACCCGCCTCCCTGACTCCCTTCGCACTGTCAGGGACCAGTTTCTCGCTCTCTCCCCCACTGACCTCACTGTCGACCTCCTCGAGAAGGAACTCCTAGCAGCTGAGAAGAGTATTGTAGCTGTAGGTGCCTCTCGTGGTGACCCTCGCACCCCCTTCTTTGAAGGGTGCTCCCCCTCCCCCCTCCTCCCCTCCATTGCATCTGCTGCTGCTGTCGACTACCTCGGTGCTGAGGGAGTCGGGACTGCGTCTGCTCCCAGTGGGAGGCGCAAGAGCGGCAAGGGCAAGGGGGGCAAGGGTGGTGGAGGTGGAGGTGGGGGCGGCGGCGGTGGAGGGGAAGGGGGGGGCGGGGGTGGTGGCGGAAGTGGGAGTGGTGCGGGTGGTGGGGGGGTCAGTGGCGGCGCAGGGGGTGGTGGCGGCGGCGGCGGTGGTGGGGGTGGGGGTGGTGGAGGAGGTGGTGGCAGTAGTGGCGGTGGTGGGGCGGGTGGCGGGCGCAGTGGAGCGGTGCAGCGTGGGGGGTTCGGAGGTGGCCAGAGGCAGCCGCAGCAGCGTCCTGGCGAGACTCCCTCGCCCCAGCAGCTTCGTGAGTGGTACTCTCAGCGTGGGGGGTCTGGGGGTGGGGGCATTTCCTCGTACGTCATCTGCACAGGTGATCGCACTGGCCAGACTTGTAGGAGGTTCCACCCGACACAGTGCTGCTTCTCTCGCCTCGATGACGCCTGGCGCGAGCAGTTCCCTGACGCCTCTGAGCTGCCTCGCTGGGCTGATCTGCTTAGGAAGGGAATTGATATCTTTGCTCTTGATTATGATGCTATCCTTGCTGCCATGTATGCATTGACTATTAGTGCTGAGGGTGACTGTTACCTGAGTGTGCCGCCTGACCCAGGTATTGGTACTGGTATGGCTGCTGCGCTAGGTGCTAGTGCGTCTACTTCTGCTGGTACTGAGTCTGCTACAGCACTGCACACCTTCACCCTGGACTCAGGTGCTTCCCGCTGTTTCTTTCATGACCGCACAGTCCTTGAGCCACTCGCTCGGCCTGTTGCTGTCTCCCTTGCTGACCCCTCTGGGGGCCCGGTCCTTGCGACCTCCTCCACTGTCCTCCCTTGTCCTGCGGCCCCGTCTGGCACTTTGTCGGGTCTTTACCTCCCCTCGTTCTCTACGAACTTGGTGGCGGGCTCTGCTCTCCAGGACGGGGGTGTTCACCAGTTCACCCCTGCCTATGAGCGAGTGACCCACTGTACGTGTGCTCGGACGGGTCGCCACCTGGCTACCTTCACTCGGCAGCCGGGGTCCGACCTGTACACACTGACCACTGAGTCCCCTCAGGTAGCTGCGTCTGCGTCTGCGTCAGGTCAGCTGTCGGCTCCCTGCTCGTGTCGCTCCCTGTCGCACCAGACCGTCCTCTGGCACCACCGCCTTGGTCACCCCTCCGTGCAGCGCCTTCGTGGCATGCACTCCCGTTACCTTGTCTCTGGTCTTCCCAGAGTTCTCCCTCCCCTCCCACCCTCGCCTGCTCCTCCTTGTCTTCCCTGTGTCGAGGGGCGGCAGCGCGCCACCCCTCACTCCTCCTCGTTCCCTCCCACAGAGGCTCCTTTGCAGACTCTTCACCTGGACGTGTGGGGCCCAGCCCGCGTCCGGGGACAGGGCCACGAGCGGTACTTCCTGCTGGTCGTCGACGACTACTCGCGCTACACCACGGTCTTCCCCTTGCGCACCAAGGGTGAGGTCCCTGATGTTTTGATCCCTTGGATCCGCGCTGCTCGTCTCCAGCTCCGCCAGCGGTTCCAGTCGGACTTTCCCGTCCTGCGTCTGCACTCTGACAGGGGTGGTGAGTTTTCCTCCGCCCTCCTGGCTGCCTACTGTGCGGAGCACGGCATCCGCCAGACTTTCACTCTTCCGGACTCCCCACAGCAGAATGGGGTTGCTGAGCGCCGCATTGGTTTAGTCATGGAGGTCGCTCGTACCTCCATGATCCATGCGGCTGCCCCCCATTTCCTGTGGCCGTTTGCAGTGCGGTACGCTGCGCATCAGCTCAACCTCTGGCCCCGTGTCTCTGTTCCGGAGACCTCGCCCACATTGCGTTGGACGGGGGAGGTTGGCGATGCGTCGGTGTTCCGTGTCTGGGGATGCCGAGCCCTTGTTCGCGATACGTCCGCGGACAAGCTCTCCTCCCGTGCCGTTCCCTGCGTCTTCCTTGGCTTTGTCCCTGACGCGCCTGGCTGGCAGTTTTACCACCCCACCTCGCGCCGTGTCTTTGCCTCTCAGGACGTCACCTTTGACGAGTCGGTACCCTTTTACCGTCTCTTCCCCTACCGCACTGCCCCCCTCCCTCCCCCGCCGCTGTTCCTCGCTCCAGGTCCCCCTTCCCTAGACCCCCTTCCCCCTCAGGGTCCTGCTCCCTCAGGTGTCTCTCAGGTAGACCCTCCTCCCGTCGCTGAGCCTGTCGAGGTCACAGGTGACTCAGGTGCTGCTGCGGGTGGTACTGCTGGGGGTGCTGAGCCTGGGGGTGCTGAGCCTGGGGGTACTGAGTCTGGGGGTGTTGAGCCTGGGGGTGCTGAGCCTGGGGGTGCTGAGACTGGGGGTGCTGAGCCTGGGGGTGCGGAGACTGGGGGTGCTGAGCCTGCGGGTGCTGAGCCTGTGGGTGCGGAGCCTGGGGGTGCTGAGCCTGGGGGTGCTGAGCCTGGGGGTGCGGAGACTGGGGGTGCTGAGCCTGGAGGTTCTGGAGTTGCCGGTGCTACCACTGGAGCTGGCGGTTTTGGAGCTGCTACGGACACTGGAGCTGCGGGTTCTGAGTCTGCTGTTGCGCAGTCTCCTTGGAGTAGCCGCCTTCGTACGCGTGTACATCTCACCTCCCAGCAGCTGCGCGACTGGTACGGTCGCCGTCAGCGTCGCGCTCCTGTGGCTCGGGACCCTGCTCCTGGCTTTGCTTCCACTGACGTCACTGGAGCTGCGGGTGGTGCTGGTTTGTTGTCTCCTGGGGGTGCCCACGTCGCTGGTCCCGGAGGTGCTCGTACCGCTGGTACTCGAGCTGCTGGGGCTGGTGGTACTGTGTTTGAGGGTCCTCCTCCTTGAGACGTTGCGACTGGGGGTGCTGGTTCTGGAGGCGCTGCGGCTAGTGGAGACGGTCCTGGAGGAGTTGCTGCTGGGGGTGGTGGAGCTACTGGAGGTGCGGGAGCTGCTGTGGGTGCTGGAGCTGCTGGTGCTGGTGACACTACACAGACGCGCCTGTTCTTCGCTCCACCGTCTCCGTCGTCTCTGCCACCTCCTGACTCTGTCCTTCACCAGGTTCTTAGTCTTCCGTCTTCTACCGGTCTTCCCCTCCTGCCTGACTCACCGCTTCCTGCTCCTTCTCCTTACACTGAGCAGTCAGGAGGTCTTACTGAGCGTCGTGAGCCTGCGTCGCGTCCTGTCTCGCCAGTTCGCTCTGGTCGCACCGTTCGTCGTGGTCCACGTTCGCGGTCGCCGTCTGCCCCCCGCACGCGCCTTGTCGTTCATCGTTCTTCCTCTGTTTCGCAGTCTTTTCCTCTGCCGTCCCCTCCTGCGTCGTCTTTGCCTCACGTTCCGGACCCTGAGTCTGACCGGTTTCGTGCTGAGCACCCTACTGTCACGCGTCTGCTAGCCACTGTTGTCACTGACCCCTCGTTTGAGTCTGCTGCTGCGTCTGCCTTGGTCGCTGAGCTAGTTGACTTTGCTGCTGCCTGTCGTCTAGACTACGCTGCTAGCCTTGTTGCTGAGTCTGAGTCTGTCTGTCCTCCGTCCGTCGGGGGTGAGTGTGCTCTTGCAGCCGCTGCGCCTCATCTCGTGGCCATGCTGCTTGCCCCTGAGGGAGACCCGGATGCTATAGACATCCCTACCCCGCGATCTTACGCTGAGGCGATCGCGGGTCCCTACTCCTCTCAGTGGCAGGCAGCCATGGACGCAGAGATGGCATCCTGGAAGTCCACTGGCACTTACGTCGACGACGTTCCCCCTCCTGGGGCGAACATCGTCAGTGGCATGTGGATTTTCAGGGTGAAGCGGCCGCCGGGTTCTCCGCCTGTCTTCAAGGCTCGTTACGTCGCACGAGGCTTCAGTCAGCGAGAGGGAGTTGACTTCTTTCAGACCTTCTCCCCCACCCCGAAGATGACTACTCTTCGGGTACTACTGCACGTTGCCGCTCAGCGTGACTACGAGCTTCACTCTCTTGACTTCAGCACAGCTTTCTTGCAGGGCAGTCTGCACGAGGAGATCTGGCTGCGCCGCCCTCCTGGCTTCACTGGGTCGTTTCCTCCTGGTACCCAGTGGAGCCTCCGCCGGCCGGTCTACGGTCTCCGCCAGGCGCCACGTGAGTGGCACGACACACTGAGGACTACACTTGCGGCTCTTGGGTTCGCGCCTTCTACTGCTGACCCGTCGCTGTTTCTGCGCTCCGACACTTCACTGCCGCCGTTCTACATCCTCGTGTACGTCGACGACTTGGTCTTTGCCACTGCTGACACTGAGGCTCTCGCCCACGTGAAGTCCGAACTGCAGAAGAGACACACGTGCACAGACCTGGGTGAACTGCGCAGCTACCTTGGCTTGCAGATCACCCGGGACAGAGCACGCCGCACCATCACACTGACTCAGTCACACATGGTGCAGCAGGTCCTTCAGCGCTTCGGCTTCACCTGGTCCTCAGCACAGGCCACTCCTCTGGCTATAGGTCACTCGCTCTCAGCTCTGCCTTCGGATGAGTCCGTAGAGCCGAGTGGTCCTTACCCAGAGCTAGTTGGTTGCCTCATGTACCTGATGACTTGCACTCGACCTGACCTCGCGTACCCTCTTGGCCTTCTGGCCCGCTACGTGGCTCCTGGCAGGCACCGAAAGGTGCACTGGGATGCTGCAAAGAGGGTATTGCGCTACTTGTGCAGTACATCGGGCATGGGGCTCGTGCTTGGAGGACGGCGAGAGGTGGTCCTCACTGGGCACTCAGACGCTTCCTGGGTTGACGACCAGGCTACGCAGCGGTCGTCACAGGGTTACACTTTCAGCCTTGGCTCTGGTTCTGTTTCTTGGCGTTCTACTCACTCGTCTTCTGTTCTCAGCTCCAGTTGTGAGGCTGAGATCTACGCCACAGCCATGGCTGCTCAGGAGTTACGCTGGCTCACCTACCTGCTGACCGACCTTGGAGAGCGGCCTCGTTCTCCTCCAGTTCTGTACGTCGACAACAAGGCTGCCATTGCCTTGTGTGAGGAGCACAGACTGGAGCATAGAACGAAGCACATCGCTCTGCGGTACTTTCTGGCTCGAGAGTTGCAGCAGCGTGGTCAGCTTCGTCTGCGTTACGTGGCCACTCAGGCCAACACTGCTGATATATTCACCAAGGCACTTCCGCCTAGTGATCATCAGCGTTTCTGCACTTTGTTAGGGCTGTTCCCACTTTTCCTCACCTGTTGTAGACTCTGCCTGTACTGTGATCTATATATATATATATATATATATATATATATATACCTGCATGCTTGCTAGATATAGATCATTGTGCTGTTTGTACTACAAATATGCCTCTGCATGTGAACTGGCCTTGTGACCCTTTGCTTGTGCTCAGAATGTGTGGTGACATTGTGATCCACCCTGAGCTTGCTTGCCTTTCTTGACTGGTCTTGTGACCCCTTGCTCTCCCCCACTTTGCCTATGGGGGTGTGTCAAACATTGTACATGTTTATGTTATTGTTGTGTAGGCTACAGTGGGTTAGCCTTTAGGGGGTACACAATTCTAGGGTTTTGATACTTGTACTCCAACTTTCTCTTAGTCAAACCACTTCGTGTTTCTGACATTGACTGCCTGACCGAAAGAGGTGAGATTTAATTTCTAGGCCTGATTGTTTTTTCATTATTGACCTTCTTCTAACAAATGGATCTTTTTACGTGTGGCGGGCAATATCCGCAAGCCACCACTAGAGCTGACGCTCAAGTGGATCTCCAAGGCCTGGAAGTCGGTGCCCAAGGAGTTGATCGAGCGCTCGTTTCTCACCTGCGGCATCAGTAACGCCTTGGACGGGTCTCAGGACAGTCTTTGCCTGCAGCACCGGCGGGACGCCGTCAAGGGCGAAGTGGAACTTGACGACGAGATTGCAGCAGATGGATTCTGCTGCAACAACGTAGACGAGCCAGAGTCGGATGGTGAGACCGCCCAGGAAGGCACCGCCACTGCTGAGGAGGATGTCTAGGTTGTGTAGGTAGAGTAGGTACCGTCATACCCCGGATATAAGCGCCACCCGCGGATAAGCGCCTGGCGCTTTTAATCGGCGCCCGGCGCTTATATCCGGTGCTCGATTATAAGCGCATACCTAAAAGGCTTACAGATTATAACCGCATACCTGTGCTGTACACATTATAACCGCCCCCCTTTGTTTTTAGTGTTTTTATATTTTGAAGATATCTAACAATATTAAATCTACATCTAAACATCTTTTTAACACTATTTAAACAAATCTACCTACATCTAAACATTTTTTTACACTATTTTAACATCTAATAGTCAATTTACATCTCATGTACTTCTACCTACAAGCCTCACATAGGCTTGACCATTTTCTATCTACCCTCGCAGATCATCTGCCGTAGTGGGGTCATCTGGGTCGGCGTCAGAGTCCGACTCAGGCTCTTCCACGTTGTTGCAGAAGAAGCCGTCTGCTGCAATTTCATCATCCATGTCGACCTCCTCGCCCTCGAGCTCATCTCGCCTGTGTTGCAGGCAGAGCTTGTCCTGGGACCCATCCAGGGCGTTGCTGATGCCGCAGGTGAGGAACGCCCGTTGGATGAGCTCCTTGGGCACGGACTTCCAGGCCGCCGAGATCCACTTGAGCGTCAGCTCGACAGGAGGCTTCTTGATGTTGCCTGCCACGCAAATCCAGAAACAAAGTTAGAGGGAGTTAAATAAAGGAAACACAAACTTACAGGCTGCACATCTCACCTTTCTTCGTCAGGCTGTCGACCCCCTCACGCTCAAACCACTCCTGGTAGAGCTGGCGGACGGCGGCCTTGAAGGAGCGGTTAACCGCGACGTCGAGGGGTTGAACCTCCGAGGTGCAGCCAGCAGGGATGACCGCAGGGACCACGTTGAGCTCGCCAAACTTTTTCTTCACCTCCGGGGTTAGGTGCCCGCGGTACGAATCGAGGACGAGCAGAACCTTCTTGGGGCGGACTCCGAACTTGGGGTTGATGTACGGCTTCACCGCCCCGTCAAGCCACTCGATGACCCCGTCCGCGTCCATCCACCCGTTGGGATGGACCCCCACGTGGATATCTGCACACCAAAACCACCATGTTAGAGAAAATTTATAAACACACATGCCACGGCGCAATCGACGTGTGGTGCATACCTGAAGGGAAGTCTCCTTTCGGGACGGTCTTCCTTTTGAAGAAGACCCACGGCTTCAGTTTTTCCCCGCTGGCGGTGCAGGCGAGCATGACTGTGACCCGCTCCTTCTGGTAGCCGCCGCTGCGGACGGGGATGGAGCGCGCGCCAACCTCTTCAACGGTGCGTTCGGATGGCATCTCGAGCCAGAGTGGCGTCTGGTCCGCGTTTAGAATCCACGGCAGCTCGATTCGGTACTGGCGGCGGGAGTGACGCACGAACGCCCAGAAGTTCCTCACTTCATCCTCGCAGTCTGGGACACGGGATGGGAGGAACAGAAAGCACAAACACAGAGTAAGAATCGTGTATCGAGAGCACATTGACACATGAACACGGCCATGAAACTCACTTGCCGAGAGCTTCTGGCCGACCCGGGTCTTCGCTCTGGTCGTCAGGTTCCAGCGGCGGCGAAATCGCTGAGTCCACCGCTGAGAGCCGGCCCACTTTTCACCTGGGTGTAGCTCCTTCATCACCTCGTGCGACCACTTTTGAAGTCGTGCGATGGAGACGGCGAGGCACTTTTTGCGGTGGGCGAGAAACCGACGGTACACCTCCGCTTCCATGTCGCGATACCACGAGCTCCTTCCGCGGCCGTGCAGGCGACATCGTGCACCGTGCGCGCCCTCAAGCTCAGCCTTGCGGTTCTTCCACTCCGTGAGGCACCTTCGGGAGATGCCGGATACGCGAGACA